GGCTGGCTGGAGACGGGGCTGGCTGCGGGCAGGGCAGGGGGTGCAGGTACAGCCCACCCTGTACGGTAAGTGCCCCCCTCCTCCTTCCTCTCCCACCGGGGTAGCAGCAGCAGCCCGGGGCTCGGGGGCTATTTAAAGAGCCTGGAGCTCCCCTGCTTCCACCGCCCCGGCCCTGTAAATAGCCGCGGGAGCCCTGGGGAAGCGGTGGGACTCCAGTGGCTATTTAAAGGGCCGGGGCGGTAGAAGCAACGAAAGCCCCGGACTTTTTAAATAGCCCCCAGAGCCCAGCAGCCCTACCCCAGGGCTCCAGCAGTGGGGCTCTGGTGGCAATTTAAAGGGCCTGGGGCTCCAGGGGAACCCCAGGCCCTTTAAATTGCCCCCTGGGGAAGCCGGGCCACCCCGGTACCAGGACTTGGGCGTGGGGCCCTCTTAGGGGCGGGGCCCGATTCAGAGGAATTGGTTGAATTGGCCTAAAGCTGGCCCTGCTTGCATCTCATCTGCTTAAAGTATAACAGTAAAATCTCATCTTACGCTCTTGTAGGATGAGATGCGCTAGGGTTTGTGTTACAATATGAATTTGGTTTCCCATCGTGATTGTGCTTGGAGCAGCCATTCTCTAAGGACTTAACACTTTTTTTTTTTAAGAACCAGTGTGACCGTGTTTCTTACCTGACAGTGTTAGTGCATTGTTTATTTCGTTGAGGAAAGAGCTTTTTCTGTTTTGGGAAGACTAACTCCCTCACCCCGTCGACTATGGATAAGGTGTGATTCATGCTCATTGGATGTACAGTAAAATCTGTAAAAACACAAGCCATGTAGGAAAAGCAACTTGGATATGCACAGGTCAAACGGTTGCTATTTGGAAATAGTATAAATGCAATGGCAAGTGTGGATGTGTAGTGCCTCACACAATGGGCCCTTTGATACTAATGCACTACAAATAAGATATATTTCTAAGGAGGAATATTGGAATAATAACACTTAGTCATAGGCAAAGTCAATATTAGCACTAGTAAAAGATGACAAACATTTTTGCAGAAAATTTGTCATTTTAATTCCCAGCTTTTGAAAAGGAGCAACTTCATTTATTCAACATTTTACACAAAAAATGGATAGCAGTTTCCTCCCCGCCTTCCTTATTCATTGGCAAAATGGAAAAAGGTGGGGATAGGAAAAACAAAATGAAAAGTAGTTAATTTTTTCTTCCAGCTAAGAGAATTTTTTGCAAAAAATTTCCTCTTCAAATAGGCCTTTTTTTTTAAATTGGGATAAATTGTTTGAAAAATGTCAGCCAGCTGTAGTCGTTATAAATGACAGGACTTGCATCAGGCATGAGATTATGGAAAGTGTTTAGCAAACCTCACGCTTGGGAATGCACATGTGATGTGCATGTAGGGAAAGAGTCTGGTCCCCGCTGCTAGTTGCATTACAGCCAGCGCAGTCTAGGAACTCAGTGCATTCTCCAATGGAGGGGAAGAGGATGGGAATTTAGTACTTGAGAACGACTCCTATGACTTTCCTCCTTTTTAAAGAGAGTAACAAAATAAAAGGCCCCAGCTGTGTAGGTAGAGAAATGCCTGCCCAGCAAATTTACCAACAGGGAGACACTGATAATCTGTAAGAATGGCTGATGCTTTAAATAATTAAAAAGAATGGTCTAATCCTCAGTAGAGGGCAAGCACTATTCATTGTACTCCCGCTTGCCTGCAGAAGAAAAGGAACTGACAGAGCACAGTACTTTCTCTCTACTCTCTGGTCCCATGACTCACTCTTCTTGGGCTGTTAGTATTATTTATTATTGGTATTCTAGTAGTGCCAAGGAGCCTGAGTCACAGACCAGGACCCCATTGTGTTCTAGCCACATCAGTAAATATTAATTCACCAGATCACATGCTTTAAGATCTTTAGTATGTTTCCAAACAAAATTTCGCTAATGCACAGTTAAGGTTGTTAGTTTATTCTCCTATCCAAAATTATCTAATTTATTCAAATATTTCTCTTGAGAATGTAACCATTATAAAGTCAGCACCTTCTTAGTTAAAGTTCTGTTGCTGTGACCGCTGTGGCCCCCTCTTCCTCTAAAGACGAAATATACTGTGAAGATGAGACAAACTAACAAATGCCCTTTTCAGTGTAGCAGATTTAGGCACAGAGACAGAGAGGGGTTAGGTTATAAACACTGCTTTTCCACAGACCGTAACTTTAGCCTCCCACATCTCAGTCCTACACCAGACTCTTCTACCAGCTTACAAAACTGACTGTCTCCAACTGTCATGTGGATGTCACTGCATTCCATTCCCTCTGTCATTGCTTCCTATGCTCCGTTGCTAAGAGCCTTGGTGTGTGTCACTGACCACCATTATTACATATGCATGTTGCATCTGACCAAGATGTATGTAGTAAGACCAGGGAGAAATTTCAAGGCTGCTGGGAGCCTTCATGATTTTAAAGGCCCCTGCGACCACTGATTGTGGGCACTCCAAAGACAGCTACAAGTTGCCAAAACTCCAATTTGGGTCAGAGAAACCTGAAGTCAAGACAGCCCATTTTGGGGGCTGAAAGAAACTTGCATATAACAGCTGAAGGCAGAGTGTACCATCCCCTTTCTCTGGGCAAGAGAAAATACACAATTACTATAGGAAAAATGCCAGATTGAGGGGGAAGGTGCCTCCCCCAAAAGCTAGCTGAGAGAGATGTACTTGAGGATGCAGCGCTGAAGAGCAAAGGCAAGTTGGAAGGTGCTG